CAGAAACAGACTCACAGACATAGAAAACAGACTTCTTGTTACCAAATGGTAAGAGGGAGAATAAACTGGGGATTTGGGTTTAGCGGATACACACTATTACATACAAAATAAACAAGGGCCTACTGTACAGCGCTGGGGACTATATTTGATATCTTGTAACACTCTATAATGGAAAACAATCTGAAAAAGGAATACATACCTATATATGTATGCACATATGTGTGTATGTGTGTTACATGCATGTATATGAATCATTTCCTGTACATCAGAAACAGTGTAAATCAACTATACTTAATTTTTTTTAAAAAAGCAAAAAACAAAAACCCTCTCACCCTAAATCTAGACCACGAGTCCTGTCTCCTCAAGGGAAAGAGACACAGAGGGGCTGCAGAAGAAACCAAGCGGCCGCGGGGACAAGCACTACACCAAGAGGGACAAGAGTGGGCCTGCCTTCCCAGCTCATCGTGGGAAACGCAGAGAGGAGTGTGGTGACCACAGGGAAGGGCCTGGAGGGATTCAGACAGTGAGACACAGCCCCTATGCAGAGGAGGGAATGCGGGGCAAAAAGAAATGCTAGAAGTGTGTGTGTGTGTGTGTGTGTGTGTGTGTGTGTTAAAAATTAAGAGTTCTCAGTGTAAAATTTATTAAGTAGCTACAGAAGCAAAAAGCATTTGGCTGGGTGCTCTATATGCTGCAAAGATGGCAAACTTTCTTCTTCTTGTAGAGGAGCTAACAATCTGTTAGGGCAAAAGCAAGAACAGGATCTGAGCTGGAAGGATGTTCGTTATCCTGAGAACAGCGCACTGAGTTGAGAGATCCTCAATGGGTATAAATAGCACATTAAGGCCAACTGGAAATGCTACAAATGAGAAAGGAGATTTGGAGGTCAGGGCTTTGTTTATACCTTGGGGTATTTTAATTTTTAACCATTTTCACATATTACTTTTTCAATTTAAAACACTCTGTCATGTCAATGTATGGCAAAACCAATACAATATTGTAAAGAAAATAAATGAATAAAACTGAAAAAAAAAAGAAATCACACACACAAAAAAATTAAACACTCTGATAAAATAAAAATATCAATGCCCACCTATAAGAATGTACCAATGAAAGAGATTTCGTCCCTCCTATTTCTGGGTTTCCTCCATCACATACACTGCCACTCAGCCACAGTCTCAGTAAATGTCCCTTATGTACGTGTCCCGGTAATGTTAGATCCTGTGCATGGGCTGGTGTGTATTCTTTCCAGCTGCTAAGGTAATAATTTTGTTTTAAGGGCTGCAGGTTTTACGAACATAGGTTTTGGCACCCTATCTTCTGCCCCTCAGACTTAACCACAGCTGCTCACATGAGAGTTGCCTCCAGTACAGAAAACTAGATAACAAGGCTACTTCAGTGATGAGACATATACCTTTAAATTTCTCTGCCTCTATCTGCAAGAAATTCTCAGCCTGACAGGATTTTCTCTTTTCACAAGCAAGCATTCTGGTTGGCCCCCTGTACTTGTGAAAGACTCCAACCCTTTCTAATAGATTTGGGTACCACCTAGGACTGGGGAGCCCCATTAACACTCTTTTGTCTAATCTCTCCTAAATATCTGCCAAATAAACACCACTTTGAATACGCCTTTAATTTCTCAAATGTGCTTCCCAACCACTGAGAATGAGTTCCTTCATGTTCCCAGGCACCAAAAATTAATCTAGTTTATTTACACAACTGTACTGGCTTTGTGGAGAAGACTCTTGAGAGTCCCTTGGACTGCAAGGAGATCCAACCAGTCCATCCTAAAGGAGATCAGTCCTGGGTGTTCATTGGAACAACTGATGCTGAAGCTGAAACTCCAATACTTTGGCCACCTCATGAGAAGAGTTGACTCATTAGAAAAGACCCTGATGCTGGGAGGGATTGGGGGCAAGAGGAGAAGGGGATGACAGAGGATGAGATGGCTAGAAGGCATCACCGACTCGATGGACATGGGTTTGGGTGGACTCCGGGAGTTTGTGATGGACAGGGAGGCCTGGCGTGCTGCGATTCATGGGGTCACAAACAGTTGGAGATGACTGAGCGACTGAAATGAACTGAACTGAATGGCTTTGTAAGAAGAGACGTTACCTTTGCCAGTGTTATCTTCAAGTATTTCTATGCAATAATAACAGGGGATGGAGTACTGAGACCCCTCAGTGAGTGGCTCCCTTAAAGTTCTATTTTATGAATGTGTACAAAATGAAGATAAAGACACCCAGGCAGAGAGACAGTGGTAGGCATGGAGGTCTCCTGAGGAACAGTGGGAGCACCTAGTCCCAGCCCGAAATGAAAGGCACGAGTTAGATGATCACATTAGGCACTGTGCCCCAGTGACAACTCTAGTAAGGGGGAAGACGACTTAGATTACGGCGGCCAGACTCCCTGAGTAAGGCGCTATTCAGGACTGCTCAGGTTTCACACGCTCGCTATTCTAAAGAGCCACAGAATGAAGCTTCTCTGTTTTTATAAAGCCACTGTTAGAAAACAATGTCCACTGTGCTGGTCAGTGATCCTTATGGAAGAATTTGTTGTTACTGTCTTCTGAATTTAGTTCCAGCAGCACACTTCTATCATTATCATATCCCTTTCTTAGATAATGAGGAAAACAGAATGCATTGTTCCTTCTGATTTGCCTGCATCCCAGGTGGTGCTAGTGGTAAAGAACCCGCGTGCCAATGCAGGAGATGTAAGAGACTTGAGTTCAATACCTGGGTTGGGAAGATCCCCTGGAGGAAGGCCTGGCAACCCACTCCAGTATTCTTGCCTGGAGAATCCCATGGACAGAGGAGCCTGGTGGGGTCCATAGGGTCGCAGAATTGGACACGACTGAAGCGACTCAGCACACACACAATTGAATAAAACATGATTTTCCCCTCCTCAATTTTGTTGTGGCTTCCTATTTGCTTTGAGTGAATATATGTCTTTTAGGGTAAAAGGCAACAATGATGACCTCTAGTCCTTTTTGAACTAGATAAAGGAGTTAACTTACCTTAAATGTGGTAAAGTTACCATCTAATGTGGTTGATTGTATTATTTTCCCCAATTATCTGTTCTTTCCCACCTCCACTCTCTGGAAGAGGATTATGCATCCCTGTCCACTGCCCTGGACTGGCAGTTCCTTCCTGTGACAGAAGTTCACTTCTCTACCATGGGTCAAGCCTGACTTGCTATGACCAGTGACAGGTCACAGGAAGTCAGGGTAGCACATCAGAGTGGCAGCTTTAAGAGTCCTAACATGGTTCCGCTCCTGTTCTCCCCACATCCCAGACTGGTGCCACTTTTTCAGCCTGCATCACAGAATGAAGACACACTTGGGGCAGAACTAAGATGCTCAGGAGTCAATATGCATCATGATAAATCATGATGAGGCCACTGATGTGTTAGGGTGTTCTGTTACTTCCACATAACCAAGCAAAAACTGACTTCATTCAACTACATCTCAAGCGGTGTGTCCACACGCTGTAATCTACAGTGAGTACAGAGGACTGATAAGGATGACAAGGACCTTGGAATATCCATCAGTGAGGACCATATAAGGGACCTAAGCACACTGACCCTGAAGAATGGACTGGGGGAGGGGAAGCAAAAAGGAAGGACAGTATAGCTACCACCATGTATCGGAAAAGTGACCACATGGGAATAAAGGAGAAAAAAGTATAGACTTACTCTTTTTGCTTTTAAGGGCATATCTAAGACCAAGAAGTAGAATTAGACAGTTATTTTGGTTTACGATGAGGAAGAGATTTCTACCAATTATATCAGTCTAAGAGCAGAATGAGGAGTCTTGCAAACTAATAATGGTTTCAGCAACTGCAAGACATGAAACAGAAACTAGATGGCCAACATATATTAGATGCACTAGGGAAAGAAATCCTCATTTTATGGGAAATTATACAAGATCATCTCCTCAAAACTCTTCTAATTCTGACTATAAATTCTAGAGAGTAACTCACAACTGTATGTTCAGTTAGCTCTCTTGGATAAAGAAGAAAAGTGAATTCCCTGTCAATAATCAGCCATATAATAGCTTTTTAGAATCTGCCATTTCTCTGTGTCATAAAAATATAAACTTTTTCTTTTCTGCTCAATTCATTATTACTTTTCCACACTATTTTTCCTAAAGAAAGTGAGATTAAAAAAAAAAATCTTCCTTCTTTATCACATTCATTAATGAAATTTAGAAATTATCTTTGGGAACACAGATTTTTTTTTATTAGAGCCAAGAGTAATTAAATGAGGCAACAGGAAATTATCATCTCCATAAATAGAAGACAGAGATTCTTATAGAAAATCACTAAGATTCCTGACTGGTATAGATAATTAACATGAGAAGACATCTCTATAACTTATTTGTCAAATGTACAGACTTATTTGTGAGATACAAAGGTTGAGATAGCATATAAAATGCTGAAGTACTGATATTAAAAATCCATATCATCTTCAAACTTAAATATTTCATATGGCATTTCTAGGTTATCTGCTGTCTACAAAATCATCAATAAAGGTCTTATCTGTAATATGAATAACACTTCCCATGGTGGGAACATTTAGCTTGTAGAACTCTTGTGTCTGAAAAATGCCAGAACAATCACTATTCACTCTGCCTATCTGACAAGATTGTGAATATCAGTGAAACAATAAAATACAAAATACTGTATAAATACAAAACTGGTACTACCATCTTCCTATATGGACCTCTAACTCACACAGAGAATTTTTCCACTAGATTTCTATTAATTGGAATATTTTAGAAAAAGTGGAAGATACAAATATAAGTAGGTAACTAAAAAAGAAAAACTGACATTAGTATTATACTATTTGGAACAATTAAGATGAGAAAGCACTGACAATAAGACACTCTTAAATTCTTCACTGTGGTGGGCACTGGACTGCACAATGAAAACCCATTTGGTAACAAATATAGACTAATTTAACTGGTATAATAATTTAAAAAAAAAGGAATAGCTACTTACCAACAAGCCTTATTACATTCAATGTTGTATTTGTTAAGATGGGTGCATTCACTTTATTTAGACTGTAATCTGATTTCTTCCTGCTTTTTAGGGTCTCTCGAGAAACACTTGATATGAGAAAACAAAACAGACTTCAAATTAGGGTTGTCAAGTAGTAAGTCAATAAGTTATTCAGCTTAGGATATAGCCTTCCTTCACTAATTAGCTATTGAAAATCTTACCACATATCAGCTGGGGATACAGAGATTATCCTCCTGTCCTTACAGAGCTTACAGTGCAGAGGGGAAGAGAAATCAGTAAACCAACAAATAAAGGACTATAATGTATTTCTTTGGTTCTCACACATTTTCAACCATTAAAAAAAGCTGTGTCACTGAATCAGAGCAATTTTTTCTTAGGTCTCCCAAGCCGATAGAAATAAAAGCAAAAATAAACAGATGGGACCTAATCAAACTTACAATCTTTTGCACAGTAAAGGAAACCATAAACAAAATTAAAAGACAACCCATGAATTGGGAGAAAATATTTGCAAATGATGGGACTAACAAGGGCTAACCTTTCAAAATATACAAATAGCACATAGAAATCAATAACAAAAAAAACAACACCCCAATCAAAAAATGAGCAGAAGACCTAAATGGACATTTCTCCAAGGAAGACATACAGATGGCCAACAGGTACATGAAACGATGTTCAACACTGCCAATTATTAGAGAAAGGCAAATCAAAACTACAGTGAGGTTATCACCTCAAACCAGATGGAATGGCCATCATCAAAAGTCTATAAATAATAAATGCTGGAGAGAGAGTGAAGAGAAAGGAACCCTCCTACACTGTTGGTGGGGATGTAAATTAGTGCAGCCACTATACAGAACAGTATGGAGTTTCTTAAAAAACTAAAAATAGAGTTACATGTCCCAGCAATCCCACTCCTAGGCATATATCCAGAAAAGATGACATCTCTAATTTGAAAAGATACATGAAGCCCAGTTCTCACAGTGGCACTATTTACAATAGCCAAGATGTGGAAGCAACCTAAGTATCCATCTACAGATGAATAGATAAAGTATGTGTATGTATAAATATATATATGTAGACACACACACCCACATATGCACACACACATACACAAACACATCCATACAATGGAATACTGTCCAGCTATAAAAAAAATGAAATAATATTATTCAGAGCAACATGGATGAACCTACAGATTATTACACTAAGTTAAGTAAGTCAGACAAAGAAAGACAAATACTATAGGATATCACTTATATGTGGAATCTAAAAAACAGTACAAATGAACTTATTTATGAAACAAAAACAGATTCACAGACATTGGGATAAAAACTTATGGTTATCAAAGGGGAAGTGGTGGGGAGATTATCTGGGTATATGGGATTAACAGATGCACACCACCACATATAAAATAGATAAAAAACAAGGATTTATTGTATAGCACAGGGAACTGTATTCAATATCTCATGATAAACAATAATGGAAAAGAATTTTTAAAAAGAATATATATATACACATATATATGCATAACTGAATCACTTTGTTGTACAATGACAACTAAGACAAAATTATAAATCAACTATATGTCATTAAATAAATAAATAATAAACAAAAAAGAAGCTATGTCATTTAAAAAACAAAAAAAATGTTCTAGGGAAATAACACATCAACTGTACAAAGCATCCTGATTTCAGACCTACAAATATGAACGACATTTTACTTAGAATCTGAATAGGTATAAAGTATAATGGTAAAGTCCAGGGTTGGGGTGACAGTAGTAAATTCAAAGGAAAAGCAGGAGATACACGGTAAGGGCAGAAGGAAAAGGGGCAACATATAACAAGGTCAGAGGTGAGAAAACAACAGAGTGTACTCAGAGAGGCCTAAGGAGTTGACAGCGGAAGCCCGGAGAATGCAGGGGCAGAAGGAAAAGTAAAGGCCAGACCACTGAAAACAACAGAACCTCATGATCATAAAGAGCATGAACTTTATCTTAATTGCAGTGGTGAGTCATTGAGCATTTTAGCCAGGAAAAAGACAGTCAAATTTGTACATGAAAGAAAAATCTAAATTTGTGTTCAAGAATGGATTAGAAAGCGGTAAGACTAGAGATGGGAAGCCAAGGAAAGGGGACTGATTCAATGATTTGCACAGAGACTTTTCCTTGAACTAGGATGGTGGCAGTGAAATACAAGAAATTTTGATAAATTCAAGAGACACTGAGAAGTTGGAATTGACAGTAACTGTCAACTGGTTGGCTGATTGCAATTAGTAGTTTACATCATGTATATTTCTTAGGGGTAAAAGTTTAAGGGGCTGTAAAACCTACCAAAAATGTGATTACATACACATGTAAATGGCAGCTGTTTGTTCAACTTAAGAGTTTTCTTTTCAGCAAAAACATAACCTAGAACATCTGATGAAGAAGTCCAACAAAATAGTTCTACTCAGTTCAAAATGGATCACAGATGTAAATATCACACATTTGTGCAAACCAATGGAAAAAAAATTTTCCCAATTATATGAGTTGCTCATTTTTGAGGTGAGAGATTATATCAATCAAGGTGTCAAATCAACCAAGTGTTAACCAGGAACCTGGAGGGTAAAGGGTAAGTAAATCTGTCATTAAAAATAAAGTATATTTGTGGTCATTCAGTGTCTGATAGTCATGACATTACTCACAAATCAGAATCAGGCCCAATTTAAAGAAGGTGACAAAAATTCTTATATGGTTATCATAGTTATTGAAGAAGACAGTTAATCATAAAACAAAAACTCAAGTACAAAAAAAGGAACATCAATAAAAGGCTCAAATAGCAAGTATCAATGACACTGGGAAGATTTTTCTGTATTTACTAGACTGAGGCAGGAACTCCACATACAAAACAGATGACTGCTTCCCTCTTTGAGGAAAAGGAAATCAATGTGAAACAAACGGATCTGTGAGGCATAAATTGCCTTCGAAAGCGGTACTGATTCTATAAATTGCAAGTCTGTTTATCTGCAAAAGCTACTGAATTAAGAACGCTTAGGTTATGCCAATTATGAAAAAAAAAAAAAAACTACTACATTTTCAGCCTTTCAGGAATCACTTAAAAAGTATATTCACTTGTCATGTGACATTATAACCAAAAGAAAATCTAATTTTTGAGGTTTGTTTTTTCTCAACCTTGCAAGTAAACCCTGTATGTTAAGCATGCGACATAAAATGTGAAATACCACACAACCCAAGAGTAATTACCTTTTCACAGGAGCATCTCCTGTTTGCTCATCAACAAAATCTCGTTTTAGTTCCTCAGGGACATCACTGTCGCTGTCATACTCCTGATAGGCACTTTTTTCTTGTTCATCAGATTCATACTGAAAACAAAAACAAAAACAAAACTGGTATATTCAACAGTGTGAACAGAGAACCAACCTTTCTTGGAGTCTTTCAACACAATACCCAATCTTATAAAAAGCTTTAACTTTGCCATCAAAAGCCTGTTAACCTTCCCTTTTCTGTATCATCATGCTACCCTAACCAGCTCAAAAGAAAAAAGAAAAATACAAACATTATACTTTCAAAAGCTTATAAATGCCCAAAAGAAAAAAAAAAAGTTTCCACATAAACAAACAAAAAACAACACACACCCTAGAAGAGGAAAAGAGTGTATGTTTGATTAAAAAAAAAACTCTTCCTTCAAGTAGTTCCATCAAACATATTTCCATTTTGCTAATTTATTATAAAAAGCTAAAGGATAAAATTCTGACAGTCTAGAAGTATTAATTCAGCTTAATAAACACATACAACACACATGCTAATATTCTATGTAATTCATTATTTAATTCCAAGGGCAGCTTAGAAACTTAGGCTAAGCACCCAGGGACTACTGATCAAGGACAAATTGGTAGATTTGCTCTTGAGAGGCAGAGAGCCTCATCTTTTCGGCATCGTGGCCCAGTGCCAGCGTGGGAGAGGAAGCGGAGTCCCCGCCCAAGAAAGGAAGCATGGCGGCGTCACTACATCACCGCCGATGAGCATTATAAATTAATGTGGCTGAACAATGGCCAACATTGATGGAGTTTTAACCAGGCACTGGGCTAAGTGCTCTCATAAAATGCCCCACCGACTCCTCAAAACAATCTACAAAGGAGTTTTATCCCAGCTGAGGAGACCAGTATGATGGCAACACGGGAAGGAATTAGTCCTCTCATTCAACAACCACTTTTCGAGTCTAAAGCATTATGACAGGCTTCTCGGATGGCTCAGTGGTAGAGTCCGCCTGCCAAGCTGGAGATGAGGGTTTGATCCCTGGGTCAGGAAGACCCCCTGGAGAAGGAAATGGCAACCCACTCCAGTACTCTTGCCTGGAGAATCCCTGGGACTGAGGAGCCTGGTAGGCTCTAGTCCCTGGGGTCCCAAGAGAGTAAGACACCCTTAGCGACTAAACAACAACAACAAAGCATTATGACAGGTTCTTTCTAAGATGTGGACTCTGACTCTCCAGGACCTATGCTGTCCCGGGGAAGATTAGCTCACATGTTAATAGATACAAACAAACATTAGAGACATTCTCCTCTACTTGTACACAACGTGATTCTGCTGACACTCAGAAAGGTATTCTCTATAAACTAGGGTCAGTTCCCCAGCACCACAGATCATTTTCAAGGATTCTGTGTTTGCACATTTCCCTACCTGATAAAATTTGTAAACCCAACATCAACACTTCACAACACTTCCATGGTCATGCATGGCTGCGTGCTGTGCGTGGAGTGGGAAACCCTTCTGAGTCACCTTCCCTGCACACTCCCAACAAGGTAACAAGGCAATCAGGCAACCAACCCTCTACCTTCTTATTTTGTCCCTCCCGCCATAAACAAACACCCTTTTCACAGGTGATTGACTGCCACATTCTTAAAATCTCTGTGCATTTTGCTGGTGATTTCACTGTTCAGAATGTCCCCCGAGCGCAGGACTAGTGCCGTCTAGTGTTTACAAGTGCAAGAAGACTGTAAGGTGCCGCACAGCAAAAATGAGTATGTTAGATAAACTTCACTCAGGCATGGGCTATAGAGCTGTCAGTTGGGAGCTCAACGTTAGTAAGTCGACCCTGTATATTAAAACACACATAAAACAAAGGTTGTATGCTGACCAGTTGGTGAAAATGTTGTGACCAGAAGCTTGCAGATACTTAATCCCATATGTTGCCTAAAAGTAACAGTTTTCTATTTGCAGATTTAGTGTTCGTGGTTACCTTATACAGAATACAACTGCCACAAAGAAAGAATCAAAGGCAATTGGAGATTAAAATGAACAAATCACTAGTACAGAGGGATACAATATTTCAAAAATATTGAAATGGCTTAATCCTTTCCGTTTAGTCTACATTAACAGAGACAAAATGTCACAAAGAATCACTAAATTATCATTTTAAATAAGGTTTACTATGAAATAATTTCTACTTCACAATGAAACATGATATTGGTAAATTTTCATGACAATATTTTTTAAAGGATAGTTTCATTTAATAACAAAATCCAAAAACATGGAAACAAATTCAACAGCTTTTTGTCAAATCTGCACAGTTTTCACTGCATCTTCATCAAATCCAAAATAAAAATCGTACCCAGTCCCTCTGGAAATTCTCAAGAGCAGAAGGACACATCCAAATTAAAACTGTGAATACACCCTGTAGGTAATGGTGAAGCAAGCATTCCTGCATGTAAATATGGGAAAACTGAGGGTCACAGAGTCACAATAACTTGCCAAGAGCCCCACAGTTAATCAATAAAATTCATAATCATTCAGCTGCCTGCAAGTCTTGCCATCAACTCACTCTACTCCTGGTTTATGCTGTTTTATGAACTGCTCAGAGTGTTGTTAAAACACTACTCCTATATAACACAAGGAGCCCAGCGGGGCACTCTGTGATGACCTAGAAGGGTGGGATGGAGATTCAGGAAGGGGGGTGATATATATATATATATATATAGTCATGACTGATTCGCACTGATGTATGGCAGAAAACAACACAACATTATAACAAAATTATATACCAATTAAAAATAAATTTACAAAACAAAAACATCATACTTTTAAATGCTCAAAACATTCCTAGCCAGTAACCAAACAGGAGATTACCCTTTCTCAGTAAAGGGGATATGGAACAAAATGACTCACTTAGCTGCCTAAGAGTAGAGTTTACAGAAAAGTGAAGATGATCTATTCTCGCATACATCCACCTATCCAACAAATCATGTAACTTTGCAGTGAAGAAACTATACTCCTATTCCATCAATAATCTGATAAGAATATAAAGCAATCTGATAACAATATAAAGTAAACATAAAGACAAAGTTCATCATTCAAAAGGACAATGTCAACAAAATGTACTGGGAAGCCATTCACTTCCAGCACAAACAGTAACACGGGTGCCTAAGTACAAAGGTAGGAAAGTGGGTGGTAAATATATGAACGCATGCGCATGTGCTTAGTCTTGTCTGACTCTTTGCAGCCCCGTGGATGGTAGCCCTCCAGGCTCCTCTGTCCATGGATTTCCCAAACAAGAATACTGGAGTGGGTTGCCATTTCCTCCTCTTAGGGAATCTTCCCACCCCAGGGATCAAACCTGTGTCTCCCGTGTTTCCTGCAAGGGCAGGTGGATTCTTTATCACTGCATCACCTGGGGAGCCCCATCGGTAGGAAAGGAGGGTAGTAAATGTATGAACAAATCTAGCCAATTACCTTGCTCACCGAGTACAACCCTCTCGATAAGAAAACCCCACTTACATGCCACGGTATGTTTTAAAAACACCACATACCCCATTAGAAGCCAGGACATCTTCTGTTTCTTCATCTTTGTGGTCGGCCTGAATTTCAAATGGATTCCCACCACTGCAGTACTGCTCAAACAAGGTTACTGTTTTTGAGGAAGTTGTAGATGACTGCTTACTGGGTGAAACGGATGGGGAACGAGACTGTTCCATGAACTTAAATTCCTAGACATTAAAAAAAGAAACGAGCTAGATTCCTTTTTGCAACAGCAATAAAATTCAAGTACATAAACAAGAGTTTGAGCAAACTCCAGGAGATAGTGAAGGACAGGGAAGCCTGGCGTGCTGCAGTTCATGGGGTCACAAAGTATTGGGCACAACTTAGTGACTGAACAACAACAACATAAACATATTCCATTAGTGCAAATGCAGAGTTAGTGAAGAAAATCATCCTGATTCTTTACGTTATTCACTTTTAAATCTCATAAGTTTTCTGAAAGCACAAGCTTGGACACACATGTTCAAACATTTTCCTAAAGACAATTCAGTAACCGACATCACTTAAAACAGAGCTATCTGCATCAAGCTACTTTTGGCTTACTTTATAGAATGGCACAGAATTTTTTTTTAATAACTTCAATTTGATAATTTTAAAAATTTTTACACAGTAGCAAAAGTCCCAGTAGGGTAGTTTTAATCAAAAGAGTCATTTATAAAAGCTAATTATTGTCAGGTCAAATAGCTTACACCACTTAAGATACTCTGTGTGAATACAATGACAACCAAGCACATATATCTTTCTCTGTTATGGTGGTGGTGGTGGTGGGTTAGTCGCTAAGTCAGGTCTGACTCTTGAGATACCATGGACTGTAGCCCGCCAGGCTCCTCTGCCAATGGGATTCTACAGGCAAGAATACTGAAGTGGTTGCCATTTCCTTCTCCCAGGGATCTTCCCAACCCAGGAATTGAACCCGGGTTTCCTGCACTGCTGGCAGATTCTTTACTGACTGAGCTATGAGGGAAGCCCTGTTTTATAATTATATCAAATTTATGTATGCCTGTACCACACACAAAACTGATGGCTAAATATAAATTCAAATAAAATTACTTACATAGAGATTATAAAATCAATGCTGGAATTTGAAGTAATATAAGGAAACATCTTAATTTAATAACTCTACAATAATGTTAAAATTAATATTAATTTTTCTATCTTTAAAGCATTTATTAATCAACATGTTTCATTGCATTTAATATTACCACTTTAGGAAAGCAATATGATAAACCTGGATAAGAAGTAAGCTATTATACAATATGAGTGTAAACACTATTACATTAAAAAAATCCTTTTAATCATGTATTCTTTACATTTATCCAGAATAAGAAAATTCTTTCTGGAAAGATATTTCTTCCAGAGGCAAAAACTAACCACAGTAGACCTTCTAAAAAGGAATCCAAATTTATATACTATATTCTGACACTGGATATTTGTAGGACATTGTCTAACACACAAGAAATATTTATCTACACTATGTTTCAACCAAGAGAAAAAACAAATCAATTAAAGATATTTGCACAGATTACAGGATTCAAGGAATCAACTAATAAAAATTAGTGGTATTTTTTAGTAAATGCCTCTTTTATCCCTGAGGCATTTTCTCATTGCAGACAAATTTATGAGTTGCAGCAGAAATCAAGAACCTACTGGACTCTTTAAGGAATGACAAATATCCTTCAAATATGAGCATTTTCACTAAAGACCATCAAAACATAACTGATTATTTTTCTGTAAGATTTAAACAAAGCAGGGACCCTCTTCTGAAATCTAAAGAAAACAAATTAATTTAATTGTGACTCTTTGCAGGCAAAAGAGTTTCTCTAAACTGTATAAACTGAAATTTGTAAAATGTGACAGACTATGACATCTATAAAAGTGTCACTCTTGTAAAAAGAAAAAAGGCTTATTATTAATCACTTTTAAGGAAGAAAGGAAAGGCACTCTTTCTTAATTTAATTATTTTATAAATGCATTCATGTATCTGGTTTGCTTTTAAAGATTACTAAATAAAAAACTGATTTATCTGTTCTTAAACTTACATGAAGTTGCAAGATGCTGAAATTTGACTTCACAGGACAAAGTTCCCAGGTCTCATTCTCTAGAAACATTCTCAGTTCATCAAGCCTTGTTCTTAAAAACAAATAACGAATAATCCAAAAAGTAAGGAGAAAAGCACACTGCACGCAAGAATTAATATAACAAAAACGATTACAGCTATCATTGTGATCATAATCAATTCTGAAAATCCATTCAGACCAATGTAGTAAACACAAACATTTGCTTTTATGTACTTATCTGTAAGAGAAAAAAAACCTCAAGTATTTACCAAACTCAGAATATTTTTACTATATTGCAAAAATAATAAATGCACAGAAAATGACATTTTTATTAAGTGACTAAACTAAGTGACTCACCAATTCATGTACATAAGATATCCTTTAGCTAATGACATATCATTGCCAAAAGAAAAAACAAGAAATAATTTACAGGGTTTATGAAACCATAAATACTGACAAAAGTTTTATGTTAAAAAGCATAGATCTTAATCACTCTTACTAAACCACAATATCAAGGTGATTATCACTCTAAATATATGTTAGCTCAGTGCCTATCTATCTCTACATAACATTTACGAGATAAATTAGCAAGTATGGCACTTAAATTAACAAGTAGTCACATATCATGTTGATCTCTTCTTTCTTTAATGCTATCGCTCTTACTGTTTTCTGAGTGTGTGCATGTGTGTGTATGTATGTTCAGCAGTGTCCAACTCTTTGTGACTCATGAACTGTAGCCCACTAGGCTCTTCTGTCCATGGAATTTTCCAGGCAGGAATACTGGAGTGGGTCGCCATTTCCTTCTCCAGCGGATTTTCCTGACCCAGCGATCGAACTCCCATCTCTTGTGTCTCCTGCACTGGCAGGCAAATCCTTCACCACAAGCACCACCTGGGAAGCCCTGTCTCTCTGGTAATCAGTATATTATATAAGCAATTCCAGAGAAGCAAATACTTCCTTATCGTTAACCCAGGAATGGAAGGGCCAGTGTCTGCCCTCTTCCTACAACAAGCCTCACGGCTGCTACTAAAATCATGCTAAAAACAAAATCTAGATTAAAAAAAAACCCACAGGTTCTAAATTAAAGATGGAATAAATGGTAGTCTTTGAAAAGCAGAAACTGCTCCAAATATTAGTGTTTCTAACAGACAAGGGCTTTAAAATAACTACTATAAACAAGTTAAACAAAATACAGAAAAAAGATGCACAAAATGGATAAAAAGAAAAATTTTTAAAGAACTGCAATAATAAAAACAAAAAAGAATCAGACATTCTATAACTGAAAAACTATAATACTTCAAATTAAAACTGGGTAAGTAAAACACCAGATGACAGAATTAATGTACTTGGAGACAGTTCGATAGGAAATAGCAAACCTGAAGCACAAATGCAAAAAAAAAAAAAAAAAAAGGGAAAAACCAGAAAAGATCATAAGGGATAGGTGAGTCTCTCAAAACATCTAGTATGCATGCAAGTGGATGGAGAGGATAGAGAGAAGAGCAAAAGAAATGTCTTAAGTGGTAGGTCATGGCTGAGAATTTGGCAAAAGTGGTTGTGCCCATATCTATCACCATTTACAAAAATTAACTAAAATGAATCACAGATCGAATGTAAGAACTAAAACTATGAAGTTCAGAACTCTTACAATTCTACAAGGAAAAGATAAATAAATCAACTTTAAAATAGGCAAAAGCTTTGAACAGACATTTTTTTGTAAAGAAGATATATGAACAACCAGTAAACATGTAAAAGGTGTCATTCATCAGGCAATCATAAATCCAAACCATAAGGAGGTACCACTTCACAACCACCAGCATAGCTAAACCAAAGAGAAAAGAGCTAGCAAGGGTTTGGAGAAGTTAGAACCCTTATATAGTGCTGGTGGAAATGCAAAATGGTACAACCACTTTGGAAAAGTTTGGTAGTTTCTCAAAATGTTAAACATAGAGTTACCATATGACCCAGAAACTTCACTCTGTATTGGTTTTCTGTGGCCACTATAATTAAAAAAAACAAAAACAAAAACGGGTGACTTAAGGCTTCCCAGGTGATGCTAGCAGTAAAGAATGAGCCTGCCAATGCAGGAGACTTGGGTTCAATCCCAAGACAGAGGAGCCTGGTGGGCTACAGTCTATATGCTCACAAAGAGTCTGACACAACTAAAGTGACTTAGACACACACACAGGTGACTTAAGACAACAGAAATTTACAATCTCACAGTTCTGGAGGCCAGAAGTCTGAAATCACACGGTTGAAATCCAGATTTCCACTGGAAACAGTGGCTGACTTTATTTTTCTGGACTCTAAAAATCACTGCAGATGGTGACTGCAGCCATGAAATTAAAAGACGCTCACTCCTTGGAAGGAAAGTTATGACCAACCTAGACAGCATATTAAAAAGCAGAGACATTATTTTGCCAACAAAGTTCCGTCTAGTTAAGGCTATGGTTTTTCTGGTGGTCATGTATGGATGTGAGAGTTGGACTGTGAAGAAAGCTGAGCATCAAAGAATTGAGGCTTTTGAACTATGGTGTTGGAGAAGACTCTGAGAGCCCCTTGGACTGCAAGGAGATCCAACCAGCCCATCCTAAAGGAGATCAGTCCTGGGTGTTCATTGGAAGGACTGATGTTGAAGCCTAAAACTCCAATATTTTGGCCACCTCATGTGAACAGCTGACTCATTGAAAAAGACCCTGATGCTGGGAAAGATTGAGGGCAGGAGGAGAAGGGGACGACAGAGGATGAGACGGTTGGATGGCATCACCGACTTGATGGGTTTGGGTGGACTCCAGCAGTTGGTGATGGACAGGAAGGCCTGGTGTGCTGCGGTTCATGGGGTCGCAAAGAGTCACACACGACTAAGCAACTGAACTGAACTGAAAAACTGAAAACAACCCAAATGTCCATTAACTGAGGAAAGGATAATCAAATTATGGTCTATCTAAACAGAGGACTATTATTTACCAATGACAAAGAAAGAAGTTCTGTTATATGCTCCAACATGGATGAACCATTAGAAATAGAAGTTAAAGCCCACTATATATATATATACATATATATATATATAAATGATTTCATTTATATGAAATGTTCATATATAGGCAAACATAATGGGCAAATACACAGAGACAAAAAATAAGTAAGTGATTGTCAGATGCCACAGGAGGAGAAAAGTGCCAATTAACTGGTAAATGGTTATTTTTTGAAGTGATATAAATATTCTGAAATTAGATAGTTGCAATGCTGTTGCTGAATTATTAATATATACTTTATAGGAGTAAATTTTTGGCATTTTCGGTATGTGACTTCTATCTCGATAAAGCTAATACTATACAACAATTATTGAGATAGGCAAGACTCTAAAATGCACTCTAAAATCCCTCAAGATTGTCTGCACTAATGCCCAGGACTAAGTATGATGAAGACCACCCTGTGATTACATTACCAAATATGGAAAGAGGGGATTTTACTGATATAATTAAGATTACTTGAACAGCCTTGAGTTAATCAAAACAGAAAGTATCCAGGTAGAACAAACCTAACTGAACAAGCCCTTTTAAAATAGACCTTTCTTCTTCTCCTAATAAAAAATGGGGAAGTCAGAGAGAATTGCTGGCTTTTGAAACCAAAGGGGTCAAGTGCAAGCACCAGAGACCTGAGAAGCTGAGAAGGCTTTTTAGCTGACAGGTAGCATGAAAACAGAAACCTCAGTCCTAAAACCACAAGGAACTGAACTGGGCCAGTGTCTTGAATGTGCTCAGATGCAGATTCTTCCTCAAAGTCTTCAGATGAAAGATCAGCCAACACCTTGATTTAGGCCTTATGAGAACCTAAGCTGGGAACCTAGATAAGACTTCCAGACTTTCACAGAACTGTGAGAAAACAAAAGGGCATGGTTTTAAGCTGCTAAAACTCATGGTGTTCTATTACACAATAATATGAAACTATTACGGTGATGAAAGATACCAACTCCCAGACTGAAGTTTAGTTATGCCTACATATAAAAAGTATGGAAAATAATACAGAAAGTAAAATATATGACAACACTAAAAGGGTAAGAGAAGGGTAAATGAGTTACAAAGTTGGCTCCTGCATTATTTTGGAAGTCTATTAACCTAAGGGCAACTGTAACAGAAGAGGATGCATATTGAAATGTTGATGGTAGCCATTACCAGAATATACATTTTAAGGCTGACAAAAAAGTGATCCGAAAATTAAAAAGACACAGATCAATCCAAAAGAAAGTAGAGAGAGAAAAAAAAATGAATGAAAAAACAGTTAACTACACTTTTAGAAATCAAATAGCAATATGATGGGCTTAAACCCAACTATGCCAATAAATACATTACATGAAAATGAAATAAAGGTCCAATTGAAACAAAAAAATTGTCAAACTGAATTTTAAAATTAAAAAAAACCTTATATGCTATTTATAAGAAGACTACTTTAAGGCTGAAGTTAAAATTAGACTGGAAGCAAAACTACATTGAAAGTAAAAATTACAGACAACTACAAAGGAAATCTTATCAAAATTCTTTCTTCATTTATTAAAATGATCAATATGGTATTTTTCCTATAGCTGTGAATTAGTAAATTAAATTTATTAATTTTAAAAAAGTCTAGCCAACCTTGTTTTTCTGTACTCAACTCTGCCTATTCTTGAAGTATGGTTTTTTTAAGATATACTGGATATAACCTGCCAATCTTTTGTTCAGGACTTTTGCTCTTAAGTTCTTTTGAGGTACTAACCTGTAATTTTTCCTGTTTGTAATGTTCTGGCATTAGTGCTATGATGGCCTCCTAAAATTAAGTAATAAAGCATTCCCTCCTTTTCTATTCTCTGCATTGGAAGGCAGATCCTTAACACCTGGACTACCAGGGAAGTTCTTTTCTTTTCTCTGAAGGAGTTTGTGTTGCTATTACTTCCCCCTTAAAGGTTTAGAAGAACTGATCAATGACAATTGATCAATGACAGCCACAGGCCTGGAGATTTCTTTGTGAAGATGCTCTGAAGCAAAGATTCAATTTCTCTAAAGATACAGGACTACTCAGATTTTCTGTATTTTATCAGCT